TAAAGGTAATTTTTAACTTAATGAACATTCAAGTAACCTTGCAGATTGTGTATTCCTTTTAGAAGCAACCTAAGTCATTGCTACGTTTTGGATTTCTGAGTCCAAGCATGCACATGCTCGTGTGCGCCTAAGAATATAGAACCAAAAAGGAATGTATGTTGGAAGGGATAGAATGACAAGACGAGCACAAAAGTTCCTGAACGCTTTTCCTGTTATATTTTCAATTGGGCATTAACTGAGACTTGCATTTGCTGTTCTCTATCCTTCCTTTATTAGGAGTGGTGAGTTGTGTAGTCTTTAACTTCGTATCATGTCCAGGATCGTCAATCTGGTGATGATGAAGCTATGGCCCTGGACGAAACATTCTGTACTGCCCTTGAGTATGGTCTACCACCAACAGGCGGTTGGGGCTTGGGAATTGATCGCCTCACGATGTTGCTAACAGATTCCCAGAACATTAAGGTTCGAGTATTTCCGTCAGTTCTTTTCCATATGAATGTCCAATGCTTTCTTGACATTCTTGGCTTTCACTGGGATATTATTGACTGATATATAATTCTTTCAATGCAAACTCAGGAAGTTCTTCTATTCCCGGCTATGAAGCCTCAAGAGTAGCTACCACAGAGCCAAAAGCCACAAAAGGGTATGCTTATGAGTCTAACTTTTAAGACTCTTTGTTTGCTTGATTGAGAACAGTAAATGATAATTTTCAAGCATGTAAGGCATTTTTTTCTACGTATTTTTCAAGTTGAAAGAACAATTAATAATTCACCTTTCTGAGGAATTAGGATGTCTATAAGTCAACAACTTTTTAGGCCAAGTCACCTCTCTACAACTTTGTTTGCTTTTTGCTGCACTTGTAGGTTAAACTTGCAATTTATTTGAATACTTTCTTGAAGGGTGTCTAGAGATTGCAATCTTTGCTGACCTCTGGATAAAGCATTTACAATTGTTTATCACTAGCCGCAGTGTGTGAAATGATAGACAGCCATCTAGTTACATGTGCACAGTTCAGGATGAACCAAGGTTTTGTTTTTGTTGTTGCCTTGAGTTATAGTTTTCAAGATTGTATGGAATTATAACTTTCTCCACATAAATTATGAATTTGTAAAAAGATTCTATTTTGTTATATTCTATGTAGTCAGAAATAACTGCTAGCAACCCACGATTAACTGAGCCCAAATGAGAGAGCATTCAAAAGTACATTACCGTTTCCATTGTAGAATAGCCCTGAAAAGCGACTAATGACATTCTATATGTTGTACCTCAGCAAGGAATGGTGATTTCCTATTGCCCTGTGCTGAGCTTGAGGTGAAGCTCTGAACTTAACGTTGTCTAAAACTCATGGTGACACTGAGTCGCTTCAGTCGTTTAATCTGCCTTAAAAAGCAGAGGACTAATGCCATGTGTTTTAGGAAATACATAGTTACATACCTTCTTTGGTAGGGTTGAGATTTAAAAATTTATACTCTACACAATGGAGACATTTCAGGAAATCTGTCTGATTCTAGATTCCCTGGACGTGCTGAGTGCACTGTTCTACATTTCTATTGGAAGCTTTGTTTGATATGCTGTTTCAGTTTCTAGTGCCCGATGCTGATTGTGTTGTATAATTCAGACGTCCTCTTTGTTGATTTTTACACTAGCTGCACCGCATCTAATTCTGGTTACGCTAACTCGGATGTTTGTGTCACAGTTCAAAGCAAACATGATGCTACGTAGGCTGGAGGATATAGTGAAGTCCTTGGATCTGTTGTGACTTATACATCTTTTTGCCTGTGTGTGTGCGAGGTTTCCATTTTTCATTATTTTTCTAAACCATCTTGTATTGCCCGGCAGCCAGTTATTAACCAGAAAATGTAAGAAAGTTCAGTTTAACTTCAAACGTGGGGTTTTGCAAATACTCTGGGTCTGTGTGCGCTCAAATTGGTGAGAAGCATGCGCAAAATGTATGATCATTGTTTACTTGAAGCTAATGTTTAGCCATTATTCAGGCTAAACTGCCACTGGAATGTGCAAAACGATCTTTTTGAACAGGGTATATCATATATGGAAACCTTGCAATCAGCTGAGTTGAATATTGTAAAACAAATTGACAATGTTACACAGCTTCCATTTAGAAAGGCACAATTTCCTTTTGCGGCAGCAAATTTTCAAATTATCTTCGTTTCTTTCGCTGAATTTAATAATTATATGGTTTAAATTTGTGGTATTGTAAATTAAACCTGTGTAAATGTTGCCCAATGGCTTTGGAATCGTTTAACTCGTTGCCCCAATGGATCGTCATCATCTACAACATCACTGCACGTAACCAGCATCTCCATTTTTCATCAACTTCTGGATCCGAATTCACCAGAACTCAGTTCACATAAAAAGATTCTGCGGGGTGTTAGTGCCAGTCGTGATACCTGCACTTCTCCATTACCTCAGGTCGTCAGCAGTACAATTGTAGAGAGGCCAGAGCATCGAACCTTGACACTAATCCCAAGGAGTATTTGTATCACTGTGGAGACATCTGGGCAATTGTGCCCTCATTCCAATTGTCAGACCTGTGACTGGCTGCCGGCTCCAGTCAATTGTTGAATTAAGTGTGTTGCTCACTGCTACTCGAGTCCAGTTGGATCATCAGGTATAACCTTTCACTAATAATTGTTCAACTGGCGCAATAGAGGCAGATCAGATGGTTCCACTGTAAAGAAATCGAAGTAGTATGTAAAGATGGAAGCCTTGTACCTTGCTCCTAGATGCATAATGAGATTTGTGGCCCTCAAGTAAGCTGCGAGTGATCTCAAGGATGATTCTGTACTTTTAAATTTAATGTAAGAGCAATAGACAGGTTCACAGGTTATTGTGGTGTTAACACTTGAATATCATCTTCCCTGTTGCGGGCTGACATGCTTCAGCTACTGTATTGCAAATTTGGGGCAAGAAAATCGATCTTGCTTTTGTTTCGAAAATATTCTTTTGAAATATTGTTTTTGTCTAAATCTATAAATTTATATCGTAGCCGTATCCAACGTCTGTCAAACGGATGTGGCTAGGAGCTTTTGCTTCACTCTAGTATGGTCTCATCTCCTTCATGGTCTCCCTGACCAACATTAATTGTATATTGTAGGATTTGTATTGATCTTGACGTGATGAAATTCTCAGTTTCGTTCAAACATACGCCGACTATCTTAGCTATCTGCATAAAGAAGTGTATATTGATTCTGTTTTTAGTTCTTCAGGAAATCCTTCTGCTATTTAAGTGGCTGCCATAAGAACCTCGTGGGGTTCTTTGGCAAATGATGTAAGGCAAAACTTTTTTTTTTTTTTGGAAACAAAGGCAAAAGTTATTTGCTTCAGCAAAAGAGGCAGAGCTAAGGAGCAAGAGTGCACATCTATCAAACGGCTACTTGAGGCACTCAGATCTGCTAGCAGCAGTCAGTTTGAACAAGAAATATTCTACCAGAAATGTAGCTAATTCTGGCCAAAAACAATCTCTAAAGCATAACTTACAATCAGTTTAATGTTCACTCGTAACACCAATAGTAAGAAGTAATAACAGAGGAACAGAGTCCATGGGCAAATCTTTAAGTAAGATGAGCTGACATTCTCCTGAAATTATTTGGTCTAAGAAAAAGCAGTCCAGATCATAAACTCTGGTGATTCAAGTGCTTGTTCGTCAACTATGCCCTCATCCCACCTCCTTAACCCTACCTGAAAAGTTATAAACACAGTGGTAAATATCTGAGCAAATGACAAGAAGTTAGCACTGCCCTGTAAGCTTAATGATCTTTGCAATCATAGTGAAAACACATTTAGTGAACCAAGCTTCTGTAATTATCTCATAAGCAATTGAGAACACCGTTACTCATATTTATGGCCACATATCTCAATTGTGTTCCCTTCTAGCTGGCATAAGATGCCATAACGCGCATTGCATTTCATGCCTGCTTCATAGGCGCACTGTTGCTCACTGCATATCAAAAGGTACTGGTACAGATTGTGGCTTTAGGTGTGACGATCTTTTCACAGCTACCACTCTATATATGTATAATGTACACTAAAAACATGCCAATAACACATGTGGAAAGGATGGTTCCAACCTTCGTCTACACAGAGCCACAGATCACACACTCACTTTAGCAAGGGATGTAACTCTATTCATAGCTCAATTGCACAGGAAGGACAAATCAATTTAACCCAGCCACAATAAAAGCAGCAAAAATTTGGGCTAGCATCTCTTAACCATGTCCATGTGACAAAGATTTGTCCGCAAAGATCAACCCTGACATGAGGCACAGCTCACTAATACACTTACCAAACACATAAATAAAAGACATGCTCCTATACTTAGATACATCACCTCTCTTATAACATACATTCACTTCATTTTGCATCTTCTATCTATACCCAAAAAAAAAAGACTAAAACTAACAAAAATATAATTCAATCATCTCCAGAGGTTAAAATTGTCCTACAAGTTAAACAGACAAGAATATTGTACAGTGGAACAGAGTAATGTGCAGGAAAACAGGTCGAATTTAGAATGCCATAACTTCTGATCTACCTAACAAATCTTTGGATCCTTTATCTTTCCAGGAAGGTAATGAAATTATCTACAATCTATTAATACATCAATTTTTTAATATAGAGTGTAATCTACTCAACTAATACATCAATTTTCGAAACATAGATTGGACATTGATCAAATCTACCAATCAGATTTAGAAGAATACCACAAGCAGGATGTGGGCAATGCGGGTTTGTTTTTTTCCCCTGTCCCATCATTTCACACCAGTTAGGCTCGAAGGAAAATACAAACAACCCAGATTATTGTGACAGAGAACCCAAATTAGTGGTAGCTGAATGTTTTTTTTCCCTACCAGCAACTAATTAAAAGTTCAGATATTACAGAAAAGCCATAAAATGCAGGTAAACTTTATGCAGTATCAGCTGACATCAAAATTCATTTCTTATGATATTTATCACCTCACCTTTCATGCACATTTCTCCTTTTACTTTCTGCCCTTTCCTTGATTTCCCTTTGCTTGTATTGTTCGATGCGGCCTTCGTCTCCGTGTAAAAGCAAACTCTCCGAATTTATGGCCAACCTTCCCTTCAGTGATCTTGCACCGGACATGAGTTTTCCCATTGTAAATGAGCACAGAGGAACCGACGAATTCCGGCAAAATAGACGATCTACGAGACCAAATCTTCTTGCCATTCATGTTTTCTCTGTTCTTCTTTATTCTAGCCAGGAAAGCATCAACGAATGCTCCCTTCCATAGAGCCCTTGAGCTGCACGCAGCAGTAGATACATACAGTTGAACAATCAACAAGCAATGCAAGAGGTAGACTGACATAGAAGTACAAGCTAGCGTTGGTGATGATCCGCATACACAATAAGCTTGCTGTAGTTATATTTACCTGAAAGCACGAGCTGCTGCTCCAAGGGGGCCGGAGAGTAGAGGAAATGCGGTGTGCTGGGCCCTGGGAGCCTGATCAGGCCACGCGGTGGAACATACAAATTGATCAGATCAACATCGACACACGAACAACCAACAATACCAAAGAGGGGGAGGTGGCACCTGAGAGATGGCCGCAGCGGCGGCGGCGGCGGCGGGGAGGGCATGGCTCGACCTGGCGAACCTCGAGGCGACGAGAGAACCAATCGCCATGGCTTACTCTCAGGCTTGGGCTTTGCTTCCGGCAGCAGCGGCGGCGGCGGCGGCACCGTGTAGAGACGGAGACGAGGAAGAAATGGTGAGATCCCAAACAAAACCTACCTAGCGGGCGGCGCGGCGGCGGGCCTGTTCTCGCAATCCGTTGAGTTGGGCCGGCATGGGCTGCCAAAGAAGAAAGAAATGAAGCCCAGGGTCTAGGGTATTTCGTATTTGCATCCGAAAAAAACTCTTTTTTTGCCCCTAAATTCTTGCCGGAATCAAGATTGTCTCCCACGACTCAAAAACTATTCTAAATTACTCTACTTCCCTGCTAGAGTTAAAAGTGTTTTTTGCGGCTTCATCCATTTTCATTAATTAAATAGGTTTGGTAAACACATGATATGATTTTAATAAAGCAAAAAAATAGTTGACATCTCTAATGAGAGAAACAACACCCGCGAAACGTCATCAGGGGTTGCCGGATGGGGCTTGCATAGTATATTTTGCATGAACGGACGCTGGGCGGAACTGTATTCTAAAAATGTAGTGGGTTTGGTAAGATTGTACGAGCAGTCCTATTCGTTTGAACTACTTTCAAGCTAGTTTCACCTTATTTCAACTTATTATCCCTCGTAGAACACTATTGAATTTGTCAAAATCAGCCGGTTTATATACCAGCCGGATAGAGCCATAGAAGAAATGAGATGTTATTTGGTTGTCTGCATGAGCGGATACAACTTGTCTACTCCTTTGTCAATGATACAGGTGAAGCCAGCGTTGGAGTGGTCGTTAGGGATCACAACGGCAAAGTCCTTTTGACGGCTTGGCATGTGTTGTTCCGCTGCGCCTGAGCAGAGGAAGCGGAAGGCCAGGCCTGTGCGGAAGGCCTCCGTTTGGTCTTACAATGGTGCTCAGGCCCGCCTATTTTGAAGTCGAATTCAGCAAGGCTGGTTGCTGCGATTGGGGACAGCAAAGATGATAGGTTAGAGATCAGATGGACCGTCCTAGAAGCGAAAGAACTCCTGCAGCTACTGACTGCAAAGTTAGAAAGGTTAAGAGGGATTGTAATAGAGTTGCTCATGAGCTTGCTCATTTAGCTAGACGATCTATTCATACTGCGACATGGTTGGAGCATGCGCCTGCATGCGTTCTTGACCTCTTGAACCATGACTGTAACTCTCGTCTTAGCTAAATGAAATCCCTCTTTACTCGCAAAAAAGATACAATTTATCTAACGTGGGAGGCTGATGTATGGATCCATTCTCTATAACCTGCATCTCCCGGGCCAAGCTCCATAGTAAATCTCGTTTCGGCCATCTCCACGGGACCAAAATGAGACCATCTTTCTGGGTGAGCGAGTCAAGTTGTAACAGTACCAAGGTCCGATGATCTGTAGTGAACTTGTACATGTTTGTGCTCCCTTGGGGTCTCTATTTTTTTTTAATTTTTGATAAACTATCGTGTATGCTCTGGTTATTTAACCAGAAAATGTAACTTGATCGAACCAAAATCAACTTAATTTGAAGGCGTGTTTTTTCGAGGAATACGGTGGTTCACCTTCTTCTTACTCTTTATTTTTCTTATTTAGTTTGTGGGATGAAATATGTTAATTCATAATCACCTAATTTTTACAAAGCTAATAAGTAGTACAAGCATGGAAAATTGGTTGATTCTACTAAAATTCATAAAATAAACTCATGGTACGTCATCCCATGAAGCACGAAGTAATTATACGAACCAAACAGTCCCTTCAACGCAAATGCGCGCTTCGCAGATGGGTGAAACCTGAAACAAACATGTGTGGAACACCTTTGGTCATCCCGACCGTGTTTACCTCTAGCGCGTGCTACTGATTGAACACGTGCGGATTTGACACCTTTCGTCATTATTATCGGTGGTGTGTCCATCTCTCCAGCGCGTTATCGGGTCACCGACAAGTTTAGTGGCAATTTGTTAGGGACAAATCTCACCACCATCTCGTTGTTTAACAAGTAGTCCTCGGTTGGCCTTCGTTGTTTATATAACAAGTAATCCTCGTCATCGTTGCATACCCCTGGGCTAGTTTTGATGGCGGCAAAGGAGTGAGCAGGCGGTGATGCAATAGTTTCGATCGACCGCACATCGCGCAACCTAATCCGCTTTTTAGAATAAATATAAACAAATGGTGGCTAGCTCTGAACGCGTGTGCTTACCTGAATAAGAAAATGCAGGCCACCCATTCTGTAGTGGCACTGTTTTTCGTTGGGACGTGTGTTATGCATGCACGTACGTCGTGCTGACCTCAACCCTGTGCTAGTCTAGAACTACTTTCTCTGCCCGAGAAAGAGTACAATTCTAACTACGGCCTTGTTTAGATGTCCTCAAAATTTCAAGTTTTTTCACTCTCTCTCCGTCACATCAATTTTTAACCGTTTGCATGGAGCATTAAATGTAGGTAAAAAAAACTAATTGCACAGTTTAGTTAGAAATTACGAGATGAATCTTTTGAGCTTAGTTGGTCCACGATTGGACAATATTTACCAAATAAGACGAAAGTGCTACTATTCATCGGGTTGAAATTTTTTTCAATCTAAACAAGGCCTACATTGGTTTATTAGTCAATATATGCAATCTTTAGATATAAGTTTTTCTATAACATTTTTATTTTCTATTGGTTTTGTGATTAAATATATTTTTATAGTAATTTATTTCTTATTTAGAATCATAAATGTTTGATATTATTTTCTATAAATTTAGTTAAACTTAATTAGTTTAATTTGGATCAGATCTAGAATTGAATTCTTTTGGAACTGGGAGAGTAATACGTAGATAAGCGAAATTGACTACCTTGGGTTCAAAGTTGTTTGACTGATAGTTTTTGCGTCTAATAAATCGGCTGAAGCTGATTTGTTGTGAGAGAAAAATATTATTTCATGGCTGATAAGTTCAAGCGAACATGTGTATATATATGTGTTTGTTTCTCTCTCTGATCATTATAATACTCTATCGACAAGCTTCATTGGTTGCTCGTCAGTGATGAGTTTGCACGCTTCAGTACGACCACAGTTGTAATCTGCTACTACTCCCGTCCATTTTAAATTATAATTAAAAACGTTTTGACCTTTTAGATATATGGCTTTTGCTATGTATTTAAATATGCACTATGTTTAAATGCATTGTTAAAGCAAAATATCTAGAAATTCCTTTGGTAGAATAGTCATTTTGGTCCCTGAACTATTACTCGAGGCTCAGTTTCATCCCTGAACTTTTAAAATAGTCATTTTAGTCCTCAAACTCTACTGTTAGGCTCAGTTTCATCTAAAACTACGAAGATGATCATTTCAGTCCTGAAACTTAGTATTTTAGATTCAATTTCATCCTAGAACTATGAAGATGATCATTTCAAACATCAAACTTTGCATTTTCGGTCTTTAAACTTTTATTTTCAAACTCAACTTTGTTTATCGTTCTACGTGGAATGTTATGTTGTTGCATGGTTAGTTTCAACACCACCAACGATTGGAGATGGAAAAATAATATTCATCCGAGAACACTTTAGTGGCCATTAATAATTCCAAGCTATTATTTTTATTGTTACCTTATAATGGTATCATTTATATATATCCGACTATAAATAATTTTTTTGGAAGCAATTACAGTTGCTTCAAACACCTTTTATTCCCTAAGAATACATGGATATATTGAAATAATAGCAGATCTATAATTTTTTCTTAGCTACTTCTAACGTTAGGCTCAACTAATAACCAATTGTGTATAAAATAACATTTTTTTATCCATTGGCTAAAAATAATTCATATTTAAGAATATTTAGATCTATACTTATATTCATCTTAGAATATGAATACAAATGTTGAAAGTGTGCAATCTGATTCGGTAGCTGGGACGACGTTAGGGATGACTGCCCATCTCAAATCTCAGGCGCTGCTGGACAAAGGACGAAGTTGTGCCAAAATGTATTTTTTATAATTCATGGATGAAATTGTGCCTAAAATATAAAGTTTCCTTTTTGATAGACAAAATTGAGTTGAAATTAAAAGTTGAAAGACCAAAATGCACTTTGATAGTTTATGGATGAAATTGAGCCCAAAATGCAAATTTCCAAGACCGAAACGATCATCTTCGTAGTTTTGGGATGAAATTGAGCCTAAAAGTAGAGTTTGTGGAGGAAAACGGTCGTTTTGAAAGTTCAGGGATGAAACTGAGCCTCGATTAATAGTTCAGGGACCAAAACGACTATTCTACCAAATACTAAAACATCTTATATTTTGAGTCGGAGAGAGTACAACAGAGCCTAAAAAAATGTCCTCCATAGTCTATGTTACAGTAAAACCCAATTCGAACCTCATTTATCAAATACCACGGGAAAAAGTTCATTTTACCTCCCTCAACTATCACTAAAGTCATTTTCTCTCTCAACTCTAAAACCAGAAATAATTCCCCCTCATCTCTCAAAAACAATCACTTGACCTACATGGCTATTTCCCTTGGTGGTTTTCTTTTTTTCTTTTATGTTTATTAAGGTTGAATATTTAAAAAATAATAGTAAATCACAAAAAATCATAAAATATAAAATCCAATTGTGTGGGACTCTACATGAGTAGATCTACACAGTGAACATATGATATGATATGCTTTTGAATAAAGTTTTTGCTGTAATTTTAGATCTATGTTTTATATAATTAATTGATAACTGCAATTTCTCTTGTCCAATTATGGTAAAATTTTTATGGTGGATTAATCATTGCATGCTTGAACTGTAGAAAAATTTCATGCTCATTGGTTCCTATATGACTGACTTATGGATTTATCTATTGATTTATCTAGGTAAAACTATAACTCAGTGATACATGAACCAATGAGCATGGAATCTTTGCTACATCTCAAGCATTCACTAATTAGCCCAGCGTAACAAAATTCACAATATAAAAGGTCCTAATATGGCTAGAGGGGGTGAATAGCCTATTTAAAACTCTACAAAGCACTAGAGCAATTGATTAGTATAAGGAACGACGTAA